CCCATGTCTACCAAACCCTCAATTTCTATGCCATTTATTTATATCTTTAACTTTGATCTTTGACCATTTATAGAAGTCTGCCAAAATATTTGCTTTATGGTTTCTCCTGAAAGTTTTGTTTTATCTTCTAAAGTTGTTCTGGCATCCATATCAGTGTGTTTTTTTAACATCAGGCATTAAATCATTCTGTAGAGAATTTCCTGTAATACTGGCAGGGAATGATTGAACTACAATTGATATTGGGGCCTGCAAGAGGCCCTGCAGGGCATTTCCCAATGGCAAAGGGTTACCCTGCCTGTCCCTTGTTGATCTACATTCATTAGTCCAGTGTCAGCCTTTGCCACACCTTCTGCATACTCCAAAAGCCTGAAGCCTTCTGTTTGACCTATTTCTAGAAAAAGCATTGTTTCTAGGAGCACCTTGCCTACACTTCCTTTTCAGATGACCTTGTTTACCACAATTAAAACAACTAACATTTTGATTTTTATTCATATTTTTAGAACACAGTGCTCCTATCCAAGTATCATCATTAGAAGTATAGGAGCCAATATTGACTGTATTTCTGATCCATTCTTCAGTGGGTACTGATCTTACTCTTAAAGGCCTAATCACTCTTTTACATTCTGCATTAGTATTTTCAAAAGCCAAAGCTTTAATTAATATTTGTCTAGTGTCTGGATCAGATATCATTCTATTTACAGATGATGTTAATCTGTGTAAAAAATCAGTGAAAACTTCTTTCGAGCCTTGTATAATTTTAGTAAAGTTCTCTTTCCTGGTTCTTCAACCCTGTCCCATTCATTCAAAGGTGCTATATGGAATCAGGGTGTTATCATCCAACATACACTGTCTTTGCAAGTCAGCATACTGATTCTCACCAAGAATTTGGTCTTGGGAAATATTATGACCTCTAGCCCTACCTCATTTTTCCAGGACCCTGGCTTCCTCTCTCCACCAAGTTCTTCACTGTAATTGAGAACCAGCTTCTAATTCTGCTGAAACTAAATTCTTCCAGTCTTGTGGAATAATTGTATTCCTAGTTTCCCATGAATTTAACATATGTCTTACAAAGGGTGAATGCATAACACATGAAACTACTGCTTCCTTAAATCTCCTTAAGTCTAACATATCTACAGGATTAACTTGGGGATAAGTATCATCTGGTGGTTGTTGTTGAACAGTAACTGCATATATTAAAGTTGGTGTTCTAATAACCTTAGGCCATTCCTCTCCTGTTTCACAATGCAATGGTGTGGTACATTCTGCTCTAAATTCCTCTGTCTTTGTCTGAGCATTTTTTCTTTTTTTCATTAGTATACCTTTCCAAGGCCTGCATCCTATTAATCCACTTGTCATATTTAGCACAAAAAACCACACCAAGGCTATTATTGATAAGATATTAATTGCCATACTGATAGTATGTATTATTTGTATTATATCAGTGTCAGTTAAATCATTAATCTTCCCATATTCTGATTCTAACTTCATGCCTTCTAAGGTAGCAGTATAAAGAGCCCTAGCATCCTTCATTCTTATGTTTCCCATTCTTAACATAGAAAAAAATTCTTTTCAATATTATTTAACTCTCTCTTACTGTCCTAAAGAATTTTCCAAATTGCTCACCAATTCTGTTGACTTCTCTGGGCAAGCAACAGCCAACTGCTAGTGTGGAGAAGTCCAGACAGCAGGTGCAGCAGAGCTGGCTGGTGTGACCCCTCCTTTGGTGTGGTTCTACCACCCATTGGACACCAATTGTTGTTATCTGTTTTTTATTATCTACGGTGGCTGCCCTTTAAGCAACAGCTTCAGGGGCCACAACCTGAGGGGATTCTGTTCCCTCAGGCACTGATTCTTTCAAAGCTACTAAGGGAAATTTTATCTTGATCTGAAGAACTCACAATTCAGTGGTTTAGGTGGAATTCTGCTTGCTCAGAGAGACTAAATAGCAAGTAGCTAACTATCTCCCTTTGCTGGTGTCTTCCAAAAAACCCCTGTGTCCTTATTTCAGACCCAACTTAAAAAACCCTCCTACATGTGATTTCTTCCTACCACTTCCTGTCAGCTACTTCCTGACTCAGCTTCCTGCTTGCAGGTTAATTTTATTGTTAATTAAACACATCTTTGAATTGTTAACAAAAGCAGTAGGAAAAATGCAATACACGTTTTTTGAGACAGACTCTCACTCTGTAGTTCTGGCTGTCCTGGAACTCTCTATGTAGACCAGGCTGGGCTTAAACTCACAGGGATCCTCCTGCCTCTACCTCCCAAGTGCTGGGATCAAAAGTATGTGCTACTATACCCCACCTCTGTGGAGGTTTTGTGAAAATAACCACAATTGCTATAAGCTCATGAGTGCAATTGTCCTATTGTATTCAAATACATTATTGCACAGTGATGTGTGACAAGACTTTTTCTAGGGAGGGCCAATATTCTACTCACCCAAGACAGGGAGCCAATGACAGACCAAAGTACAGATACCACCAAAGTCAAACTTGATGAACCGTAAGTTTTATTGGAGTTACTGTATTATAATGGTTTCTATTGCTCTGAAGAGTCACCATTACCATGGCAACTTCTACAAAAGAAAGTATTTAATTGGGCCTGGCTTACAAGTTCAAAGGGTTATTATGTTGGGAAGCATGGCAGCATGCAGGCAGGCATGGTGCTGGAAAAGGAGCCAAGAGTTCTACATCTGGATCAGCAGGCAGCAAGAAGAGAGAATGAGCCACTGGGCCTGGCTTGGGCTTCTGAAACCCCAAAGTCCACCCCTAGTGACATACTACCTCTAACAAACCCACACCCACTCCAGCAAGGCCACACCTCCTAATGCCTTTAAATAAGCATTAAAATATGGATCTATGTGGGCCATTCTTAATCAAACCACCACAGCTACTTACAGGAATATGGGTGAGGGGTTACTTACAGGAGCATAAATGACTCAAAGACAACTGCATCACCAAAGCCCACCCCAGCATGGGTGGCAGCTCACAAAGCTGGGAACCTGGAGCACACTGCACAGCCTGCAGGCAGCTCAACAGGTTGGAGAGTGTCCTTTCCAAGTGACATAGTAGGGCTAAACCTCTTCCAGGAAGCTCAGCTGTTTTCTACCTCTTCCAAGCAGCTGGTCTGGTCTGGTCTCACAGTATTTTTGCCATTTGGCTTGTCTGAGAGCAGTCTTGTCTCAGTAGTCTTTATTGTTTACTCTTAGAGGGAGGGTCCTAGTGGATTTGGTCAATTTCTGGGACTTAATGACACTGTCTTGAGTTGTTTGCCTTTCTGCTTAGGGAGTTTCCCAGAAGGATAGGACGTTTCAGTCTCGAGGAAACAGTTACACAGCACACTGCAGTCCTCTCCAACCTCTGGTTCTCAGTCTTTCTCTACCCTTTTCTACAGAATTCCCTGAGCTATGTGAGAAGGGGTGTGACACTGGTGTCTCATTTAAGGTTGGGAACTCCGTATTTAGTCTCTGAACTCTAATCAGTAATGGGTCTCTGTATTAATTTCTATCTGATGCCAATATTTGTTTTCTGGAGTTCCCTTCCGGTCCCAGCACCATCTTTGATTCTCTGGCAAGGGTCTTTCCCTTTGCTCATTGGTCCTTTCTACTCCTTCAGGTTATGTATCCACAAACATCTGGAGCCTACTGTTCTTTCAAGCTTAAGGGCAAGGCACTAAAAAGCTAACTTAAACTGGCATATAATGAGGTCAGGTGGTGGTGCATGTGCGCCTTTAATTCCAGCACTCCGGAGGCAGAGGCAGGCAGGTCTCTACAAGTTTGAGGCCGTCCTGGTCTACAGAGCTGGTTCCAAGATAGCCAGGGCTACACAGAGAAACCCTAGGCAGAGAGTGGGGGGTGGGGCACTGTAATGAGATGGACTTGCAGATTCTCCTGGGGGAAATCCCAATTGCCTGAAGGTATAAATTCTGTATGAGTCACTTAAATTTTTCTTTCTTTTTTTTCCCCCTTTGGTTTCCTGAGAAAGGGTTTCTCTGTGTAGCTCTGGCTATCCTGGAACTTACTCTGTAGACCAGGCTGGCCTTGAACTCACAGAGATCCACCTGCCTCTGCCTCCCAAGTGCTGGGATTAAAGGCGTGCACCACTACCACCTGGCTTCATTTATATTTTTCTTACGAAGAAACTAACATTCTTTTGCCTAGGTCAAGGTGTTGGATATTTTATGACTATCTCTAATGCGGCTCTTTACCAGCAAAGGGCCTTTGAAGCCATTTTGTGCCGCCAAATGACAACTCCTTCACCAGCAATTACAGATGAGGAAAATACATTTTCTTAAGTCTTCTGAGATTTCTTTGTCATTAGCCAATGGCACTTGTCTTTCAGTGTTAGAATACTTAATATCTCATTTTCAAAAGTTCCTTTGTGTGTAACTTTTTCTTTTATAAAATACATACTAGAGTTCTGCAGAGAAACAGAACTGGTATCATGTATTATGGAAACTGGGGGGGGGGGAATAAACAGAGTGGACCAGTTAACTAGATGTGGTACAGGCAGTTTGAAGGGAGAATGCTAGAGAACTGTCACTTAAGGAGGGTGGCTCTTTTGTTCCATTTAGTTTTTAGCTGATTAGATAGAGACTACTGACATCATGAAATACAAATTTCCTTACACAAAAATTCATCAACTTAAACTTTTAGGTTATCCAAAAATGTCCTTCCTGATGACATGTGAAATCAGCCATGACAGCATCATATCAACACCTGTAAAGATTGCACATTTAATTGAGCGGTTTTGTTTTAGAGATTGGGTCATTGTTTAGCACAGGTGAACCCATTCACCATGTACAAAATCCCTGGTTTCTTCTATTACACCCTCAAATATTCCTTAAATAAAAATTCTATTTCTGTTCTCCTACAAACACACTTACTTTATACACACTGGTTATGAATAGACCATCCTTCATGCCAGAAATTATCCAGCCATTGGTAGCCTCTTGTAAACCAGTTTCTACTTCTCCATGGAATCTATCCCTTAAAACAACCGCAGAAGACCAGAGCAAAGAGGAGTCAACTGATGACCAAGAGGAGTTGACTGATGAGGAGGAGTCAGCTTACAGAGAGGAGTCGACTGACGACGAAGAGGAGTAGGCCGAATATCAGCGCATGTTCAAACACTTCCATGAAAATAAGGTAGAAATTGCCAGCGCCATCACAAAGCCGTTTCCTTTCCTTATGAGCCTCCAAGACCGCGGCTTCATCTCTGAGCAGAAGTTTCAGGTAAGTGAGGAGAATGAACTCAGCCCTGACAGTAAGCCTGGCCCGGGTGTGTTATGCTGAACCTCTGGGTGCAGCCAACAGGCTGAAGGGCCTCCAGGGAGGAGGGACCTTCTCTTCTTGGAAGTCAAAAGTGAGAGGAGAAGCGGGCATCACAGGAAACATTCACATCCATCGCTGCTGTAACCGGGGCTGAGGTACATGGTGACAGCGGATGGTATAGGAAGTGGGAATGCACTAAAGGGCGAAGCACCTCAGGTTTCCTTGTGCAATGTAACAAAAGAAACTAGAACGTGAGTGGACACATCCAAGCAGTGCTTCCTTACAAAGCCTACTTATTCCAAATCCTGGAGCCTGAGAGTTGTGAAAGTCACAGACAATTAGGTCGCGTGAGAACAGACCTAGAAATCATGCTCACTTCTGTCTGTCCAAATTGTTCCTGTTCTTCAGGCACCACTGAGGCCCTAGAATGTAGTAAAGGATGGTGATGGGGTCCCCTGGGGATAAAGAAGTCAAGTCCTGTCTCCTTTGTGCGTTGTCTTTGCCCTGTGGCCAGGATGCTCACTTTGTTGCCTTGAGCCCTGCAGACCAGGTCAGTCTCCAGGGAGTTACTGTCTGGTCCCCAGACAGCCTCTCATGGCCTGTTAGGGTAACAATGGAGCATCTTGGCAGGGCTCTTACAGACACACCATTTGATTATTCTTCAGAACTACTCTTTCCTGTCAACTGTGTGTCAACATCAGAGATGCTCTGGAGAAGCAAGGGTCTGTTATTACAGGGAGGACATGTAAATTGTCACCTGATGTATACAAAACTCAGACACTTCACAGGAAGTCAAACAGTGTTTGAACCAGTCTAAGCCTCTCTTGTAATTCATAAATTCATTCTGACATAATTCTCCACTCAATATTTTTTTTTTTTTTTGGTTTTTTGAGACAGGGTTTCTCTGTGTAGCTTTGCGCCTTTCCTGGAGCTCACTTGGTAGCCCAGGCTGGCCTTGAACTCACAGAGATCCGCCTGGCTCTGCCTCCCGAGTGCTGGGATTAAAGGCGTGCGCCACCAACGCCCGGCTCCACTCAATATTTTTAAGACCTCAAAAAAAATGCAAGACCCTGGATGCAGCGGGAAAAGTGGTATATGACATCCTCAGTGACCTGCAGAAAAAGTTTAGCTTGCCGCTTCTGCAAGTGATATTCAGCACAACACATCTGAAGGCCTACCCAGACTTAAAGGAGACTATGAGGAGCTTCCTAGATGGTAACTACAGCTCTCACCTGCTTCAGAGAATTCAAGATAAATTTCATTTATTTGTCCATTCATCTTTAGTTAACAGTTGAAATACACTTTACTGAATGACTATGACACACTAAGCAAAGAGGATTACAAAGTGAAGAAACCACACATGGCCCATGTGGTCAAGAACTTACACATAAGCCAAGGAACCCACAGATAAGAGCCCAGCCAGGAACTGATTTGTGTGCTATAAAATACAAGGCTATACTCTCTACTATGTTTTCTGGGAAGGGAAGAAAATGTGGATGATAAGTTTCTCTAAGAAGGAGGAAGTTCTCAGATACTTGCAGACATGTCCAATGAGATATATATATATATATAT